TTATGATAATAATAATAATTCTCTACACGTCCGCCGCTGCACAGGCGTATACGTCAGAAAGTTTGGATTTATTATGGGATTTCATATCGGCAGCCACCGCCACCGTCGTTTACCTGCATTTTCTGCAATGAGCACACATTATATATATATATAAACTTGTATCATATAGGCGTGCGCACGGGGTGGGCCAGGTGGGCCATGGCTCACCCTGTGGGCATTGAACCGTGCCGTATTTTTTATGCATATTGCGACCTGATGAATTTTTATCATGAAACTATGATGATACAATTGCAAATCACAATTTTCAATGATAAAAAAAAGTCTGCGCACGCCTATATGGTTTGTATATATATAGAATAGAATGATATGCTATCATTTGCAGCGAGGGTCGGGGAAGCGGAAAATGACTCGAGCACAACAGTTTACCTATATATCCTTACCTATCTATCTATCTATATATATATATATATATATATATATATATATATGTATGTATACTTGTACATATTGGAAAACCGATGGACGCCTTCATCGTGCGGAAAAGTTAACACGATCGGGCGACCCCGCGCGTTATATAATACAATAACGGATCTCCCCGGGTTGCTGTACACCATCACCTGCCGTTAAACGCGTTTTCCATTGACGATGGCTGCTGCAGCTGGTCAAATCGCGCGAGCGGTATATATCGTATATGTACCTATAATATTTTTACCTACGACTCGAAGACCGAGCTTATTATTTTTGAGTGCTTGATATACAGATATTGATAAAAATAACATATCATAAAAAAGTTTTTATAGAGCCCAGATATACATATGTCTTCTAAAAAACAGCTTTCCAATAAGTGCGCAGAAAATACAAAAATACCCACTTAAACATTATTAAAATAGTTGTATATACATATATATGTATAATATTTATAATTATAAAACATAGATAAAGAGTGAAAAGATTGTAAAAGTAGCTATATAAATAAATTTCTTATGAATAATTAAAATACTTGTAGGTAAATATGACTTATAACTCGTACGAATTGTATTTACCTTATTATTATTTTATTCATAATTTGTTGTTATGTTTTAAATTTGAGAAGTTTGTAGCTTATTTATATACATGGACATAATACGGTCCGAGTGTTATAAAATGTAAGTCACCAGATATTAAATATTAGTCACAATATTTTAACATATTATTATATAAATTGTCGACACAATATGTTACCTCACTAAGATTTAAGCTTTGTTACATATGAAACACTATATATATAATAATTTATAACTATAGGTAGGTAGTATAGGTGCAGTATGTACCTATAAATTGAAAATGTCAAAATATGCAACAAAATAACATGCCTATATATGGGTAATATTTTTAATATACAACCATTAACCATATAATGTATAGCATTATATTGTACCGCATATACTATTATTGTTGATCGACCTGAAAAATATGCAAATGTATATATAAATATTGGCTTTATATGACTAATATACAGTACCTATACTAACTATAATAACTGAATATTCTCGTTCTTCTATCTTCAAATCAAAAACCGGGTTGTCCGTGATGATATTATAATACAGTTATTACATTTCACAGTTCGCGGTTTCCTCTTCGATCCGGCAAACTGACTTTGGCAATCTTCACTTTTTAGATTTTCAACCGCGACGTAGTTTATATATATCTATATATATGCTCAAGAGTTTGGAGGGTTCACGCCGGATACTGCGGGTGAACTGTATATATTATCAGTTATCACCAAACGAACGTTTCAATAATCGCATCATAATAAAACGAACAGATTTTTCGAGATCATAAACCGTTTTCTGCAGTTATAGTCGGAAATAACACGATAATAACTATATTATTATTCAGCGTGGCGACCGGCGGAGAAAATTATGCACGATCAATCGTTCAAATTTTTCGATTTGCTGAAATCGATGTGTAATCTCGTTGGTATAGTCAGAAATATATCGAATCACCGGTTTTGTAACGCAAAAAATTAAGTGCATTCAATGACACCTGCAGCAGCTTCGTTTTGAATGCATCGAATTATAATACTGTGGTTGTAGCAGTTATTGCAATTTGTTCAATCCGATGATAATGGTATATCAGATTCCAGATTATAGTCTTATAAATATAAATGTATAATAAATCGCCGTTTGTGCGATCGTGTAGCGAACGAAAAAACACATTATAATAATAATATAATTATATAAACGCGACGACTAGATGGCCGGGGACGAACGGTTGACGTATATTCATATTATGTATACCAAATTATTATTATTATTATTAATTTTGCTATCATATAATATGTATATATATATATATATATATATATAAGGCGTTTGGGTTCGGGATCATACCTAGTTATATAATATGGAGTGCTCACTCGTTTGTCGTCGTCATCGCGTATCCTTTTTCTATACACGTTATAATATAATATTGTTGAAATAATAACCAGCGCCTTCGACGTCTCGGACGATTAACCCTATATATAATATAAAATATTTATAAATATATATAGATTATTATGAGGTGTCGATCAAGTATAATAGTATTATAATAGATAGTACCTATATACATTATACATGCAATATATACATATGTATAAGAGCGACATTGCGAGCGTGCGCGTGTGTGTGTGCGAGTATATGTTTCTATTTAAGTCTGTCCGCCTTTTCTTCGTATGGTATAGGTAGCCTATATAGGTAATTTTTTTTCATTTTATTCGTTTTTTCTCTCTGCCGTGTAGTAATAATTAGCGGCGCCCGTCGTGAACGCGTCTTAGTATATCCCCAAGACAATGCTACCGGTGCCCAACAATAGAAGAAAACCAATTTTCGATGGTCGATTGTGTGTGTGTGTAACCTCTCTCTCACTCTCTCGCTCTCCTGTTATGTGTGTATATAATGCACTCGGAGCTCCTCACGTTGTATATTGAAGTCGACCGCTGCCGCCGCCGACCGAGCACTGGCGCCGCCACGCCGGACAACAAAATAATATTAATATTATATACATCATCTTAATTGTGTGACGAAGAAAACACAATATTATACGATGATTCGAACTTTTTCCGTCGCTATATTGTACCTACGTCGTGATAAGGTATATTTAAATATATATTAAACGGAGGCACCGCGAAAGATCTAACGAGGTCAATTAAAATAAAGTGCATGACGTACGAAATAACGCGTATAGGTAAGGCGAGTCTAGATGTCCGATTTCGGCCTAAAAGTAACCACTTGTCGACAGTATTTTATAGCACAAAATATATATTGCCCATCTAAGTCATGTGTGATTATTGTATTTCAAAATAAAATAAAAATATTTCGTCACATTTTGCGCTTCAGTAATTATAATAGGTAGCTACATAATAAAGTACTGTTGAATATGATAATTCAGATATTAAGATAATGACCTGCAGTTAACTCGTGTAATACACTAGTACCTATCTAACTAAACTTAATCGTTTCCACTATGGTTATATATCTGTCGTAATATCCAATCGAATAACTGCAGCACTGTTTGATTATTATATAATATATACAATAAATATGTAATGATTAAAAATATATACCATGATACCAAATATGGTACTTTGTACTGTGCTTCGTTAAAATGTATATTAGGTATTATATACCACACCTAATATAGTTATTATTAGTTCCTTATAACTTTTAATTTAGAGTATTTTGCCACGGGGCACAGATATGAGAATTTAAGGTCCGATCGCCTATGACGTATTTTATCAGTGATTAAAAATGTAAAAAACTTAAACTATGTTATTAGCAGTTGGGACGATTAGGAAAGAGGGAGTGACAATATTTTGCATAATTAATTCCGTCTGTCGTGGTAAAAAACGAATTGAATTAGGCATTTGTTAATCGTTTGTGTCGACTGCTATCCATCGCATGTCATTATGAGAAAATCACATTAATTTTTCACGTTTCTCCTTTTCTCGGCAATCGTTATTATTCTCTTACGTGATTGGATGGTTCGTAATTTTCCTGCACCTCTTTCCTTCCTCCATAGGGCAAGACAAAATATGCAATTATTATTATCCAAAAAAAAAAATGTATTTTTCGTAATTACATTTTTTAATACATAGTAATAATTGTGATTTTGTTTTTTGGCTTTTTATTGTTCTCCACAAAATTGGCAATTAAAATAGACGGCGGCGAACGAGTGAAAGCGACTTCTTGGCAAATTGTTTTGGTGCGCGGTGTTATTTTTCTTCTTGGTTAACGAATACTACCTATATATATATCACATTTATAATGTTTAAGCTTTATATATGTATAATATATATTTATATTATATTATGTTCTTCTGTCTGGTTCACACATAATACATATATATTATGAAGGTGACGAGTACAAGAGACGTGAATGACGGATACCTGGCCTATATATATCGATCGGATTTCGATAAACGCTATAAACTTCAATTAAATATCTATATAGGTACTGTAAGAATGCACGTGCGCCGTTAACGAAGACATTATTTTGCATACAATATAATTGTATATAATATTATATAATAACAATCACCTACCTATACATATATACAAATGTATAATAATATGGTTCAAGTGGTTCAACGAAAAGCATCTTTTGGAAAATTAACTTTACAATAAAAATTATTTTAGATTTCGGATTGAAAATGATGATCATCTTAACGACTTCGCTCCAAAAAATATCTCGTTAGAACATAACATTTCTCATTAAATTAGTTATAATATTTAGTTTATCATATTTTTATTTGGTTAAAATATATTATATATAAATAAAATAATGTATTTACCGTGGAAATTTCGATAAGTTTCAAAACAGATCACTATATAATATTTTGATAATGGAAACTGGTAGTCAGTGACCCCTGGTATGTAGGTTATATATAGATACCGAATACCTATTTATAATGCGATGACTTATAATTTTTAAATAAATTATTTTGTGTTGTTGTTAATAACGTAATTTTAAACATTGCAGGCGAAGCGATACATTTGGCCCGAGATTTTGGATACGTTTGTGAAACAGAATTCCCGGCCCGACAAGTGGCGGAGTATCTGAGCAGACCGCACACGAGTGATCCAACTGAGTCGTACCGGAGAAAAGAGCTTATACATGCTACAAAGTGAGTACCAATCAACACAATTCATTTGATATAATATATAATATGTTGTAATTAATAAATTACCGTTTTTCTACAACACCTATTGTACGAAATCCGTTAACAATACTTGAAGATAATATATAATCTTGCACACTTCAAATCAAAACTTACACTCGAATTCATTTTCAGCTATCATAATATTGTTGATGTCTTATCACCATACATACTAATACATACAAACAACAATTAGTTAATATTTTATATCTGATTATAATAATATAATCATACCTAAACTTAAAATTCCAAAAAAGAATAGGCCTATGCGGGGGCAATGGCTTATGGCCTGAAAAAAATAAAAATCGAACGCTGTACAAAATGTAATTTCTATACATGAATGCACGTGGTATATTATACGTTATAATCATGTTATAAGTGGTTGATCTATAAAAACGTACAAAAACCTAATACGTTTTTATTTTTTCGCAGACAAGTGACCAAAGAGCTGATGGACCTGCTCAACCAAGACCGTTCGCCGCTGTGCAACACCAGGCCGCAGCACATTCTCGATCCGATCATACAGCGCCCGCTCACTCACTTTTCTCTCATATCGCACGGATTCGGCAGTCCCGCGATCGTCGCCGCACTCACGGCAATACAGGTAATAGTTTTATACATTTTGTTGCTGTTGATCAAAAATATTTTGATTTTCCTGAAACACTCGTCCTCATTATTCATATATACATGCCAGTCATTCTCTTCTTTATAATATTGATTATTTATAATATTACCTACCTATACGTTTAAATCGCCTTTTCGCGCAGTGATTCTCGACGACGGAAGAGTATACATCGGCACACTTGAGTTTTTTTTTTTTTAAGTCCCCGAGATATCCTTCAAAAATTTTAAAATTAAACGTGAAGCTATACAGGTTTAGACAAATCTTCGACTATATATATTATATATATGTACATAAATTATGTTTTTCAAAACTCCGTGCGACACTCATCCTATGGCCCTATATAGTCGAGAATCACCGGCTTTGACGCATAATACCCACGACCCATACCCGTCCGTTTATTCATACGTTTTTTCTCGTCGTTTCCGCAGAACTTCCTCTCGGAATCTCTGAAACACTTGGACAAGGTGTACCCGTCCGGCAACAGCCTGTCGTCTCAGCAACAGCAACAGAACAACCAGCTGCAGCAACAGGACCAGAAGCCCAAAGACTTGGTCGGACTGGAGCTGAAGAAATGAGCCTGGTCGAGGCGGGTGCATCGCGAACCTGCCGGCGGCCCGCAACAGCACCAGCCGCCACCAGTGAACCACCAGAGGCTGCAGCTGCAACAGTCGTACGGCGGCAACCGCGACGGTCGCTGTCAGTGATGATGATCGACGGCTGTCTTGCGCACAACGTATTAATCATAATAATAATAATGTTATTATATGCCGACATCGGACTACCGCCGCCGCCACCGCAATTTTCCATTTTCTGTTTTTTTTTTTTAGATCCAAAATAACGGTTTTTTCTCGGCACGCGCTCGGTCGTTTTAAATAATATTTAAAAACAAAAATAAAAATAAAAAAAAATTGACAAACTTACAATATTGTATATTATTATTATTATTATTATTATTATATAGTGATATTACGATGTGCAGTATAAGTTTTATTAGAATATTATGTTATGCTATATAATATAACGGTTTTTGTAAATAAGCGATGATATATTATGATATGATATATATTATATTTTTTTCGGACAATCGGAATTTTTTTTATTATTATTATTTTTATTTACATACATAGTTTACGCATTAGGACTTATGCGCGCAAATTTTTTTATTTTAATTATTTATTCTCGTTTTTAGATTATATTTTTTATGTTTTCGAAACTTGTACAAATCTAGAATGATTTCCCGCCCCTTCATGTGCCATCCGTATAATTACCGCGGAACCCTCTCGATTCGTTGATAAGAAAATATTATAAATATCAAAACATTTTTAATTAATAATTATTGTATATTATAATTTGTGTCGTCGTCGCGAATTGTGTTTTATTTTTAATTAATTTTTTAATTATTTATTATAATAATTATTATTATTATTATCATTATTATTAACTTGGACGCTTGAACATTACACGACATAATAAATTATGAATGTGATGTCATTACGACAAAGAATCAAAATGAAACGTTAAATTAGAAAAAATCAAATTTAGCTTATAGAAGAATTGAAACGTCTCATGATATCATTTTCATATTATTATTATTTACTTATTTACTTATGATCATGAAGCCATAATAATCGTTATAATATTATGTTTTGCTATTATCATAAAATCATTCAATGATATTGTCGGTTTATTTATTTTTGAATCGTGTACTTATTAATTTTACCAGGGATGAATCATTTTTTGTGCTTCAATACGTATTAAATATATTATAGATACGTATAATAGTGACAATATTATTTACCGTTTGACTGTTTTTTGACAATGCAAATTTAAATCAAAAATGCTTTGATATTCGTATTATACGTAAATACGAAACATCCCTTATAGTAATATGTAATATATAATATTATTAATGATGATGATAATAATGGTACGTATGTATCACGTAATATTTAGTTTCAATATGCGTATCACCCCCCAATGATAATAATAAACAATAATAATAATAATTATTATAATTATAATAATTGTTGTACAGCGAGTTTAATTTTATTCTTATACACGTGTAAGTATTATTATATATATATATATAAACGCGCTCGTATATTATATAACGGGAGTGTAATAAATGTACATAATATATTTATAAAAACGAAAAAAAAAAACAAAAACAAATAATTGTATCATATTTATATTGTGTAGTTTTTCATTACAATGCTCAAAAATATTACTATAAATGTTATTAAAAACTTCGTGTGTTTATTGTTATATCTATCCCGCAGTAATCTGTACGTCATCTACATGATGATAACCTTCCATCGTCCACCGTACAGATCATCACGCACGTCCTTCAAAAACAAGAACAAAAGGCGCCCGTTCACTTGTTTGCTCCAAATTATATTTTCTATTAAAATGGTGTTTTAGTATCCCGTCTGATCGGGAAAAATGGATTTACAATCATAGAGTTATAGAGTATAATAGATATAGATATCATAATATAATATATCAATGACTTTGGGAGTTTAAACTTCAAATGGGCATTTTAAAATAAAGATTATAGCCAATAGGGTACGTACATAAATATAATGCAGACTTGTACGCGGGGAGGTGTTTTTTTTATGGTTATAAATTATCACAAATACTAGATAGTCAGTATAAATTTTATAAATATTATGTATAGTTTATTAAAAAAATAAAAAAATAGTCAGAAATCATTCGAAAATCAAATAAAGAAATTATACTATAATTATGCTATATATTATATGCGACAAAAGTTCATATTATTTATCATCGACCGATGAATATAATATTGAAACCAGCTATGTAGTATGTTTATTATGTGATGAAAATGCATACAATTTTAAGCACTATGATGATTCTGTAAGCGGAAGTATAAATATACAATAAATCAATAACAGTATAGTATATTTTAATAAGTAAAATTACATTTATTATTAATATAAAAATAAAATCACCACTTTTATTCTAAATTAAATAATACTTTATTACCTGTTGTTAATGGAAAGTAGGTTGGTACTTAAACGAAAAGTGCTATGGCTGAACTTTGAACTAATATTTGTGTTGGGTGTGAAATTAATGCAATAATTCACGTTTCCTATTATTTTTTACTTTATTTGAATACAAACGAAAGCCCACGCGTGTCAGGGCAAATGTGTGTGGACTATATGTTCGACGATCGAACGGTGACTGCAGGTGTGTTAGGAGGGTACAAATAAATGGATACAAATCGGGTACAAAAAAATGAGATAGGTCCGAAAACGATCGGTTGACTCCTGCAGATGGTTCCGGGTGCCAGGACGACGTCGTTTCAGCACCCGGACGGGGAATTTGGTTTTGCGTTAAAAGGAGAGGGGTACACATTTTTTTAAGGAGGGTACAAATGGATACAAATCGGGTACATAAAATTAAGATATGTTAGGGGAAGTTTTGATGATTTACGGGTGCCACGACGACGTACCTGTTATCGGCGGCGGTCGGTACCTCAACTGCGATATCGAACGCGCTAGTATCGAACAATATGTTATTATTTCAAAATGGACCGCTGCCGATAGGTTGTGATGGTTATTGCGCAGAGGAAGTAACATTATTATAATAATAACTTATATTTTATTAAAAAAGTATATACATTTTGAGATTGACGTATCGCTATCGATAACGGATGTTGTTTGATTAATATTCTATTTATTTTTAAATAACGGAAGAATATGTCAAGCAGACCTACTTAATTTTAGAGTCACTAGTAAAATAAATTGATAATATACGATATTTACTACTGTCAGTCGAATCTTTTGGTCAGTTGTTACTCGTTCGGTATTGCGTGATGACAGTTTTACTTGATGAAATTTGAGGTTGCTAAAAAACATTTGTAGATCATTACCGCATGTCATGTAAAGTCCAATAAATCTTCTGGTTTCACCGTCCAGCAGCCCAACTGACGCCTAATGGCGGCCCATCGGCGTCGATACAACGTGGCGCCCGACTTGGCCTGTGCGTAGCTGACTTGCCGTCGGCCTTCGGTTCCTCCATCGCCGGCCAAAAGATGTCGGCACGCGTCGAACAGCGATTTTTTGCACAACGCCGACGAACCCGTCGCCTTTCCGTCCACCGCCTTTTTCGTCGCGCCCTGTTTGCGGCCGTTTACCAACACTTCATGACGACTGCAGCGACCACACCGAGAAACAATTTAAACTTATTATTATACGCAATATTATAATATAAGCTAAATTGATACGTAAGCAGTCGGTTATATATAAAAATAATATAATATAGTTTTCACTCACCCCCCTGCCACGTTCGTGCCACCTACCCCACCACCGCCGCAATCGTCTTCCCACCAGACCACACTGGACGGACACGGCTTGCAACTAGCGGCCACGCGATGTTTGGCGTATTCGAATTCCAAAGCAGAACGTGCCAGTCTGAGCAGTGGAATCGATGGCGATCGATCTTCGTCGGGGCAGTTCGCCCGTTCAACAATTGCTCGGCGCAGGGCCGGCTCAGAGTATGGACAACCGCCGCCAATGGTCAGCGAAGACAAGTACACCGGTTCGATGAGCAGCGACAACAAAGCTCCCTAAAACAAAATTTCACTGCACACTACATATATGTATATATTCTGCAGGGTTTAGCATAGTTGAAAAAGGAGGTGAGATATTTTAATACATGGTTTTGACCTTAGGCTTGACTTTTTTTCTTATTTACCAAGCGAAATGTAAAAATTCAAAAAAAATGTATTTTTGAAATTTTTTTAAAGTCGACACAGTATTTACAAACAAAAATAAATGAACGTTCGATGAATTCACTAACACAAATAAACGATTAGAATAATGCAGTTATCGATGCATCATATGTTTATAACTTAAAATGATATCAATTTAATTATATTTTGAATATATAAAATAGCTATAATAGGATGTGAAATTAATCAATATCAACAATGGATTATAATATATATAGGTGCTTAAATAATTCAAAATCCAATCATTGTCCATATATTTAATTATTAAATAAATAAGCCATTTCGCTTAGTTTTATTAATTATAAAATATAATTTTCTTTAATAATATACCTACATCAATCAAAGTTTTTGGCTTAACACTGCTGACTGCATATAGATAATTCTCCAACTTATGGGTGGCAATAATACTAATATATAATATGAGTTTAGCTTAAAGTTATACCTGTACGCCCGACAAATGCCACCTGAGCAATTTGTCGCTACACGAGACGGACAACGTCCGGTCTCCTCGACCCGGTTTGGTCCTGACCGCTCCGACCACATGATATGCAGCGCCCGGAAGTTGAGGGTCCTGCCTCGTCTCAACGCTAAGACATTTAGCTCCAGTCCGATGTATGTCGTTGGCGTCGTCGATTTTGGGTCTTTTTGCTTCCGGTCCGATACCGTCGTCGTCGTCTACGGCCGCCCGTTTACCCACGTTTTTTGGAAATATCGACGCGTCACCGCACGGCGTGTGACTAGAGAAAAAGTGAAAAGTGACGCCTGGACGTAAAGTTAGAGGACATGAGCTATCCGAATGGTTTTCCGGTCGGCAATCCTCATCAGCAAGCGCTGAGTCCTGTACAAATATCGACGGACTGCCTTTACGAGCCGATTCGATTTCTTGGATGAAATACCGCAACAGACCTCTGCGTACCAAGACCTGAAACACTCAGGTTTATCAATTATCAAAATTTGATCGAGTAAATATTTTTAAATCCAAGTGCAGATGGCTTATAATATACCCTGTATGCATGAGTAATATCATATAATAGTTCGAATCTCGGTACACACGAAACCGGAGCAATAATTTCAAAATGGATATGGTATTACAACAACAGGATGACGATCACGTCGTAATACTATCACCACCTGAAGTCGCGCAATTATAGGGAATAGCGAACTCTGCATGCCTTAGATTTAGCCTCTTAAAATATATATATACGAATGAAAGTATTTTTTTTTATTCTCATGTTAATGTAAATAAATTTCCATTATCGTCTAATGATTGTCAAAAAAGACCAGAATGATAATATATAATGGTAGATCGTATAATGTATATAGAAAAAGATTTAGGGCCAACCATTTCTATAATTGGCTTACTCTCGAAAGTGCTACATTATACATAAAAAAAAAATGGAAATCTTTGTAAAACCAATACATTTTCTGATAATACTCGTATTAGGTGAGGGTGGTACTCTTACTGATTATTTTAAATCATCTACAGTTTTGGCGAGGGCTATAATAAAGCCATCTCAGAATTTAACCCTATACCATCATATGCATATAATACTTTAGTTTTTGTTTGTTGACTCACCTCGGCATGACTGTCATTGACCACAGTACCTTTGCTACACAGCTTACTAGCACCAATGCACTTGGTGCCAGTAGCCAGAGAGACGACTTTCGGCGGTCTCGAGTCATTCTCAGCCTGTACGACGCCTGACAACAGCGTCCACTGTTTACCGGACATCGGTTTGCCCTTGTTCGGAAGCTGGTCAAATTTCTCCAGACATAGCCTAGCTACCAGATCAGCGAAATTTTCAGGCTGATATTGGACAGAAACACATATATTGATATATTATTATAATAAATAGTTATCTATTATTCAATATTTGTTTAGAAGTATGTTGTACAGAGATTATACTAAAAGGCTCAAAAAATAATAATTTATACCTTAATTATTTTTATACTAATATTCAATAATAAAAACAGAAACCTATAAAAATAAATATGTATTATTTGTTAGAAAGCACGTACAGGTGTAACAAAAATACAAAATTTATTTATTTTTAAAAACAGATATTTCTACACAAAGATAGACTATATTTTTATCAACTACATTGTTTTTGAATAAAATATTTTTGTCTAAACATTTTCGAATTTTCTATAGCCCCTCGACCAACATCCTACTTATAAGTTAGTATATAGATTAGTGATTACACTATCACAAATTATTAAATTTAATTATAATATTTTAAACTTTATTATGATTCTAGATTCGTGATTATGAATGTAGCTCTAAAAAAATATAAAATATAGTAATATTGCAGAAAAATCATTGCCTACAGTTGCTTTGTATTAACATTGAATATAGTATACCTTTATAGCAGGGGATGAGTGTGGAAAAGCTGGCATGTCGAATTGTGTGAATTATTAAAAATATTAAAATAAATATTGTTTCGTATATAAGTAAACTGGAGCCGAAATTGTTAAACATTAATTTTAATTTACCTATCATCAAACTTATAACTAAGTATAATGTTTATGTTTTCGCKTTGCTTTTTACGATATTTAAAATGCTTGTGGGAATGATCAAAAGTTAATAAATTACTACACAACGGCTGGCATAGACTAAACAATTCGAACACTGTTTTTTCTGTATTACGCCAGTAAGATCCAAATTTAACATACCTACCTACTTACCCATAATATTGTAGTATATTAATTAATATCATAAAAATTCATGATAATTAATTAATATTATTTTACGCACATATCGGTAATCAGTTCTATAATCTATTGTGATTTAAGAGTGTTAAAAACAAAACAATGATAACACGATCATTTGGTAAACTGATAACAGAGTTTTAAAATTTTTTTGATTTTATCTTTACACGCGCTCGGTAACGTTATCGTTATCACACACAGAAAAAAGGAGTGAGTACGCACTACACGCCACTATTAGTATTTAGTTCTTTTAAATATTCGAAACATTTAGGACCTATGCTGGGTCAAATTTTTCATATTATAGTACATTAGTGCAAAAGCAAATAGTTTAATATCAGAAGGCACAAGCTATATGGCTGTCCTAGAGGGTCACCCAACTATTGTGTGTACGTACCATCGTTGAACTGCTACGAATCTACGATGACTACAACAGACTGCTAGTAATGAAACATCCGTCAAACTGATGGTTCCCCGCGAGATTAAAACGGAAGTCGGGCTTCACTCAAACATTATCCAAGGCACATGAAACAGCTACCGTATTAGTATTTTCTTTGTCTAATTACGAATACTGAATGGCAGTCATCGAAGTATCGGACAGTGTTTTTTATACTAAATATATGATTCATAAAATAAGCTGATCGCTGATATAAATCACCATATCATTATTTTGTGGTGCCATCGTTAAACATAGTTCATACAATATTCTGGTAGTAACTAGTAATAAACATTAATTATGATGGACTGGCATCGAATCATTCAAACAATTTCGGTGAACCTCAAAGTCTGCGTCTCACGTAGTCAATTGTCATGAACTCATGACATGTACTCACCATGAATCATGATATAACTAACATATCAATAATATATCATGGACTCATGGTACTCACTAACTCCGAACTCGCTACTCATATCTGATTTTGAAACTTAACAGGGAACGCAACTGTTAGCAGCGCGCGTGGTGGTTTAATTTTAAACTACGGGCTAGTTAACATCGCGCCACGGCGCGGCGGTGTACTGGTATCTATTATTACAAAACACGGTTAAAGATATATCTTTAAGGGCCAGTTGTACCGTCTCTGATTAAAGTTAACCGGAGTTTAATCGGCCGAATTTGCACGGTTAAATATCTATTATCAGCTGATTAAGCGTAATCGAAGTTTAACCGTAGACGGTACAACTGGCCCTGACCGTGGTACAAAATATGATTTTTGAAGTTTTTCAAAGTTAAAAACTTTTCTTCATTTTATGTCTAAAAATTTTTAATTAAATTCAAGAGTTCGTATACATTTCTATGCCTTTAAAAAATTTTATTTCCCGAAATGTCATAATAATAGCTTTGTAGGATGTGTGATTTTGTGCAATTCAAAAATAAATAGATATACATTTTTTTCGGATATAGCCATAATGCCATATAGCACAAAATTAAATATGGTGCCTATTTTTGCAATATTCAAATACGTGAAATACGAACAACTATACACTTGGAATTATTACCACTTCCCGACGACTCAGTCGACTATTTCAACTTTTTTTACTGTTCTCGACTCTCACTATTATTACATTATTATTATTCTATATAGTATCGCCTAGTAGTGTCGAAATTCGACCATCGGGTTCGCAGGCCAAAGTTTAAATTTATAAAACTAGTTAAAATTCATTACAGAGTAAGAAAAAAATGTTTGTTTTATTTTATGCAATTTTAAACTAAACGTTAAATTGTTAAATTGCGTATGGCCGTATGGGTCTGAAAGAGACATGTTTATGTATCAATAAGTTTACACGTAAACTCGCCAAAGATGCTAACTGAGAAGTGCAGGTTGCTTGTTGGCTGTTGCTACTTTGTACCTACTTACATATTAGTTGCTACTAGATTCCTAGATTGAGAAAAAAAATTAAAAATAAAGTAACTACTAATAAGTAAACGGTTTACAGTTATAGAATATAGAAATGTTGATATCATTCAACTTTGTCGTGGTTTTTAGTTACAAAAATAATCGTCAGATGGCAGTTATGATACTCGTTTCACCGACAATGAATAATKTCTTTTGCTCATCCACTATAAAATACAAGTTACAACCACTGCCATAATAGTAATATAATCCATAGTTCCGTCAAGAATTCTCCCACTTGTTTCTTGAACCCCATTTGACTTTGATTGTTTTTGATTATTTTTTATAGTGTCGTGTGATTACATTATACTTATTTGTGGTCCCCTAAAATAATTGTTATTATTTTCATACCAGTATGTTATTATCTGTTGATAACTCACAGATAACGATTTGTTTATTATTATTTAATATTCAATAACAGAGTATCATTAATTTTTATTATTGTTTTAGAAAATGGTAAATTCTAAATTTGTATACATTTTTTTATGTTAAATATTGTGTGTTAATCGTCATATTAATGTTATTTTTTATTATTGTTACGTAGGGTTCAGAGAGCCCAAAAATGGTTGCCAACGAAGAAACGTTTGATGAAAATACTTTAGCCGAGGCCAATTCTAAGGAACAGTACAAAGAAATGAAAAGAAAATTGAGACTTTTGGTCTATGTAAGTGTCTTAGGGTATCATATTCTTGTTGAAAACAGAATTATTTATTTGCTTAATTTTGTGTTTAAGGAAAATGAAATCTTTCAACAGACTCWGAAGACCACTCAACGGAAACTCCTGAAAGCATCACGAGATAAAAATGTTTTACTAGATAGGCTGATCGAGTATGAAACAGTAGAACTTAGCAGTAGTGATAATGAACTAACTGAGTCATCAGATGAAGGCGATTCTGTCAAACCAGAACCTAAGAAGTAACTAACTCACTTTTCTCCCTCTATACTGTTTGAATGACAAACAATAATGTACTCCATATTTGTGTTTATAAGAGTATAGATGAATGTTGATACCTAATGAACAAATTATGTTATGCAATTACAAGATATATTTTAAATTCCAATCTTGAGCCAATAATCGTTCTTATAGTTATCTACAGATTACAAATAAAAATAATATAATACAATATAGTATACAAGTGAAATAGATTAGAGGGAAATTATTATTATTATTATTATTATTATTATGATCTGGCGTGTCTTCATAAAAATAAAATAAATCTCACTAATCATTATTTATATTAATTATTTTAAAAAAATACTATTTGTTTTTCCAAAGACTAATTTTGTTTTTGGTAGTTAACATTAAGAATTAAAATGAAATTTATCAATAATGCTTTATATCAATATTTATTGATTGCATTAGTTCTTTTTTTCTTTTGATTTTAGAGTAATATGCATGTTTGAATAATTTTTCATTTTAAATTTGTTCAGCTTTTAAATATTACAATATAGAAAAAACATTTAACCCTAGATTACACACATTAAAAATATTCACGAGGTTCCACGCATGTGGTGTTTTTGACCATGTATTGAAATATTTCAATTAAAACTCAATAAATTGAAATAATCATTTTTTTATTGATTTAAAATCAATAAAAATTGTTAAATGATCTTATTGATACATAATATAAACAAATTAAACTTTGTAGCTACACACAGTATGGCGAACTAATGTCAACTAGCAACAATCTTGCCAGTCACAATGAAAATAAAATACTCATTTACGTTTTATAGATAGAAAATAACGTCTTATCGGCAATAAGAGAGTTTAAAAAAATCCATATTTTAAGCTTTCATAAAATTAAATTGTGTATTAATGTCACATTAAAGCATGCACACGGTTTTTTAGACCGTATATTGATAGGTAGTGAACTTTGAACCTTTCTATAGTACAGGCATCAAATCGTAAACAGTCAGGAGTTGTATCTAATTTTAGKTTATCATCTAATTAGAAGGTACCTAGATTGAGTTAGGTTAATATTTCGTATTTTTGAAACAATGAACAAAAAAGCCCGATCTTTTTGACCGTGGAGCGTGTGCTGTAGGGTTAATAATATACCAAATATAGTTTTATCACCTATACTTTTAATACCTTATTAATTTTTTTTTAAACTTGAAGATCATCAATGTATGTATAAAGTTTTAAATAAAATTTTTTTAAGCTTAATGATGCTTAATAATTCTATTTTATTTTGAGAAGAGAAGCTTCCCAATATTTGGMTCAAGGGTTAGTTAATACTTAACCTCAAGTTTCTTTTTGATATTTTAAAAGKCTCACTGGTATAATTAAATAAACTCTAACATTGACCCAGAGTTCAGTTTTAGTTTCAACTTTCAAGAAATGTAAGTTTGGTAAAACAAGAAATAATCAATCAAATTTTGGTCACTTATTTAGTAATAATAATTTTAACTTGAAAATAAAATCTTCAAATTCCTATTTAAATTACAAAAACTTCTAATTAAGTTAATTTTGTTATTCTGTATGTTAAGTTGATTTTTGCATTTTTATAGTCAAATATAAAATAACTATTTATAAGTGTAAATGTATAGTACATTTCGGCAAATAAAAATTTTATATCATAAAAACAATATCAGAGAACTTTTTTAATTTAATCATATGTATTCTAGGCGAAAAGACCCACCGGCAAATAACTCTTCAAGTGGAACAAGTAAACAGTCTAACAGTCCTCAAAGGACTATTCCAAATCCTGCCAAAAAACGAAAACCTTCTACTCCAAAAGCTTCAAAGTCGACACCAATGGTAAGTCATTCTATTATTAAACATGATACTGATTAACCTTTCAGCTTACCACTCCCTTAATTTTTTTTCATAAAACTTATAAAGTTATAATTCAATCCTTAATATTTTAAAAATATTTATTTTGAAAACTGAGTAAAATTAAATAAAAAACTTTATTTTTCAGCCACTTCAAACAAATGAATCTCATTCTAACAGTGCATTGTCAACAGCTGAAAGCAGTAAAACAATGGCTGAACCAAAGTCAGGAAATAATTTTAGTCAACACAGTTTAGCAACAGACACGTTTAATGACACTTTTTCAGTTAAAAGTGAATCAAACAGTATGTATGACATAGATACATCACCTAACAATATCGCTGAGGACATGATCAGTGTCGACAGTATAGGAAAATAATTTACCCAATTAATTCATTTTTTTGTGAACTTATATTTTAATTTTTAATATTGTACATTACATCTGTAACATGTGTATATAGGTTGTATAAAATAAATGTAATTTTAAAATGTAAAGCATTTGAAAATGTTGTTTTACTTTCAGTCTGTCGACCATAGTAAAATCGCAATTATTTATACTCTGTATAAATTGTTGACATTACTTAAACTTATACATGTAATTTAATACATAAAAACTGTTATGTATATTATGTAAATCTGCAAAACGGTTTCAAAATAATGTTCAGACTTTACTTGGTGTTACAATCTTATTTGTGTACAAAATTGCACACAAATAATATTATAATCTTATATTATTGACTTAAAATACTAATATCGCTGGTTATAAATTAGGATTATTTTTTTATTTTTGACTTATGCTAAATTTGACATTTGTTTTCATTTCTTCAGGCACTTTCACAATAATATGATGTTGGCAAGACATTGTGATTTACATGATTAAGCATTTAGGACGTCGGCGGCGACGGTCCTCGGATAATTCTTTAGGATGGTTCCGTATGATGCGCACCACCTGTAGGGGAGAAAAAAACCAGTTAGTGTTTTGAGGTAAAAAATCAAAAATGTTTGATGTTCAGTTAATTTTATACAGAAGAACAATTTTTAGATAAAACATGTTTATTGGTTGCTGCTTGTAAAAAGTTAACATTTAAAATATTATACTATTATTTGTAATTATTTGTATATTATTATAATATACTAAATGTACATTATTATCAAATCATGTTTTTATGATGATCATTTTATTATACTCGTAAAGTGTATTTTTGTACCTCAAAAGTGTGAATTTTAGTATGCCAAACTACAAACATTTTTCATCAAGTTTTTGTTAACAAAATGATAAGATTTCAAAGATTTTCAATTGAATATGGTACTTTATTTTTGATCTAGTTAAGTTTATATGTAATATATTTTTTCTTATGTACATTATATTCTTAAGAGTGGTTATTTTAAATCCTGTGCTAATAAAAACCTTTTCACCAACAGTTGATTATTATGAGTGGTTCCTAAAGTGATGATATGATATAGGTATGTCAGGTAAAACATAACGTCATAAAATTTATAAATCGTAATCACATATTTATAAAAATATATTTTTACTATTTTATTATTTTACATTAACGTGAGAAGTATTCTTTCTTTTATTTATTTTCTGAGGACTCGTTTTTTAGACTTCTTTTTTTCAATGTTATAGTATCGGTTTGCATATTCTTTAAAACTTAAAAAAATGTGTATATGTTTGGAGAATATCTAAAAAAGTACAAACCACTAAAAACTAGTATTTATATACCTAGTAATATTATGTTAATGATAAATATTAAATTTATTAATATTAATTTTGTTAAAAAAAAACATATTATGTATATACATCTACAAAATTAAAAATCGATTAAGAAACCACTGTGAACCCCTAAAAAATGTTGAATGAATAAGTAACATAAACTGTGTCCAGGAAACAATTTGTTTAAAAAGAATTGTTTCCCTGACTTGGTACAAAATTCATGTGTACCAGCTAACCAATGAGTTTTTAATATTTACCTATAAATTAACACGTTGGCCATCAGACTTGATTTTAAAAATATTTTTTTTATTTACGATGAGTATCACCCGTGRCTCTCAAAAAATATAARTTTTCTTGGTTATTGAATTCTACATAACTTTAAGAAAACGAAATACCYGAGAGTYACCAGCAACTCACACGATACACACATAATGACGATTTGTGAGTCCCCCGTGACTCATGGTACATAACCAGAGATTGTCAAAATTATGTCTATTGTATCATGGTGTGAGACAACCGTGATACTCATGGTAGCCAATGTGTTAATATTTTGAATTACATTTTATCTATTTTTATTTTTTTATGGAAGGGTAAGGTTAGGTTTGTTTAAGTCTGTTTAAGGAAAAGTGGCAAATTTTCTCCGAGGTACACACCATACCAAATTCCTGTGCATGTATATCCTAGTATCTATCTCATACCATATCCTAAACATATAAATTAGCATTGTAAATTTTTTAATTTATGTTTTTTTTTAGATGGTTAGTTATAACATTTTTTACACAGGTAAATAGTTATAAATTTCCAACATAAACTAGACAATTTCATTTTATCTCACTTATTATTGACAGCATTGTTGTTATATATGGGAAGGGGACTATCTGCACCATGGTTCATAGTAAAACTTCAGATACAATCTAATTATTTGTTATAAATATAACTCCTCTTCCCCACAGTTATATATAAAAAAAATGTAATAGTGGACCATAATGGAAATAATTCCTATACATAAATTAAATGACACCGATAATAATAATAACGGAATAATGTAAACCTCGTGAAAAGCGCCGTCGATATTTTGCGGTGGATCTTTGGCGCTGGTCTCCATGTACGGCAAATTCAATCTGTCAGCCATCGCGCGACCTTCGCTCTCGCTGATCTTGCGCAAATGCACCAGGTCCACCTTGTTGGCCACCAGCAGTATTGGATATTCGTCTCTGGCAAAAGGAATAATATTTTTTGTTTTTACTATTCAATGATAGCCGTCCCCCCCCCCCAATGTGTACACTCACCTGTCTTTGACCCGAAGTATCTGAGTGAAAAAATTAGGAACGTTTTTGAAACTGTTCGGGTCGGTGACCGAATAGACAATCATGAAACCATCTCCTTTTCTCATGTACTGCTCTCGCATCGCGCTGAACTCCTCTTGACCGGCCGTGTCCAATACTACGGACAAAAAAAATACGAAAATCAATGACACATTAATGATGATCATGATCGACTAAGAGATGAGAAGCGATCGGCGGCGAACGTGGATYCATCAACACTGTTCTACGCCTCTACYGCAGAGTACTGACTTACTGGTTACTGCTCTATCAGTTAGTGTGATTTTATATTATTTAAAATGTTAATATATTTCGAACTGTATCCATTTGACGTTATGGTACACGGGTTTTCCGGAAAAAATCAAATTTTTTTGACAAGGCATCATATGTTATTGAAGTGATAACATATACATAACATATTGAGGTTTTTAAACGGTATTCCATAATTTAAATTTAACATTTCTTTGAAAGCCTGCGTAAAATATTTACTAGGTAACGAATAGTGCAAGGAAAAGAACTTTAACGATACATTATGAATTATGATTATATGCAGAGTGATTTCTCAAGTAGTCGGTGGTCGCCATATTCGTATGAACCTTTTATCGAATTATTATGCTTATAAAAAATACCACGTTTCAAACCAGGAAACAGTGACATGGTTATATTACAGTKTCTGTGTAATTAATTTACACTTAAAGACACATACGAAAATTCTACAATTGCTAATATTGCTATGATCAATAGTGRTTTAGAAGAAAAGGTTTACTGGCTACTCGAATCAAAATTGTTTCAAATTTGTCTGTACAAATTATTATTAAAAACACATATACACAGAAACTGGCTATATACTGTGAATACACTGAATACACACGCTTATTAATGATTAGGTAGCTGTAACTTGTAAAATGTGTTAAGCTTATAATCAGTATAAAACTCATAAGTCAACGTATACGTAAGTAATGTAAATAGGTTCCTAGAGTAAATAACTTAAAATTAATTAAAATACTTATAGTAATATACGTAATGGCGAATAGTTTCAAGTCGCTTCGACTAATAATTTWTAAATAGTTGAAGAAAAGTATCGCAGTTTTTCATTTAATTATTGGATTTTGTCGAGACTTAATTTCAAATGAGTAAGTACCTATAAAAATTAATTGTGTCTAAGCATATTCGAAAATTTAGGATTTATATAGTAACAACAACTCATGAGGTTAGTTGTGATGAGCAAGTTTGTATTTTAAATTATTCTTTGGTAGGTATCAACATWTAAAATTAAGAGTTTTAATGCAATGATGGGATTTACAAATTTTCGTGACTTTGACAAAATTTCGGACACTTATCAAAAACAAATTGGGTCATATTTTAAATTGCCATAAGAACAATTTATGGAGAACCTATTGTCTTACAATAAGACATTGTAAGTCAAAGAAAATACTACAATTTATTATCAACACAATATTACTTAATTATACGTAAAATATATACGAATATATACGATGTATAAGTATAGTAAATTATTGTACATGTACCAATTAGCTAAATTTCAGTCATTGACGGGTCCCCCACATGGCATACATGAAAACCATTGATAATAACAGGTAGTACTCATATATATATATATATTGAGCGTATTCTAAAACAACTAAACCTATATATGTACAGTTGGCGTTCACACATGACTTATTGCATATTTTTTAATGCACGAGGACTTATACTGCGTGGCGACGACTTGTTTAAGTCGGTCATAACTTATAACTAGTAATATTATGTGTGTGTATTTATTTAACACCATGTATACGATGTATCTTTAATTATTGCTAATGCGTATTGGTGACATGCGTGCTGTGTGTAGGCGCGCAGGACTCGTCGACACGACAAACGCGGAGCGGCGGCAACACATAAATACAAATATAATATATATATATACATTAGAAGAGGGGTAATATAATAATAATATAATAACACACGTGATGCTATGGGATTTAAACAATATAAAAATGTGTTCGTGCGCGTGGTTGTGTTTTGTTTTGATATAACAAGCACTGCGTTTCATGCAATATTATACATCGGAGGATCTGGCAGGCGTTTTTTTTTTCATTTTTAAATTTCGTTTCATTTGCGTGGCTCGATCGCCCATTTTCCGCACGTAATAACCGCTATGTACCTAATGCAGTTTTCGTCGGGCGCCTGCAGATCAGTGGTTGCGGTTAGGCTATAAGGGTGAGTAATTATTGACGTTAAGTCTAAATCGTGTATAAAATATAATAATTTGGCTCAATGACCACAAACACGGCTATAGATTACGTTATTTGTTAGAAAATTACGCACAACGCAAACACGTCAGGTTACAGAAATCGTAAAGTTTTCAGGATAATATGATACATTMAAAATTATAATTCTGATGAAGGATTAATATCAGCATCTATATCTATACAAGTAGTCGATCCGATGTACTATATAAGCACCAACGCGCTGCACTTCATCTTCCAAACAACTCCCTCCCTCAGTACCAACTAAAAAGTTGTAAGCAAAAGCAAAGCTATCAAGAACTATCATTGTTTTCCACTTCCAACACCACTAGACAGCTCTCTCGCAGTCTTGCGTGTATCTGTGCKWATGATTTATATTCAAATTTTGTTCAACCCTATACTTATTTAAGATAATATTCTGTAATATAAATGCGATTTTTTTTTTATTCAAATTGAACTACTAATATTATTAATAATAATACTATATATTCTAGCGGTGGTAAACCCATGGCACGCGTGCCAAAAGTGGCACGTGAAAAATTATGGTATTCATAAAATTTTGCTTGTAAAAAATTCAAAGAAACAAATTATATACATTTTAAAGATTATAATATTTCTATGTAAAATTGATTATGTTTCTATATTGTTACACTATATTTATCATGTTCAATTTAGTATTTACAAACTTTGGGGGGAGGGGGAAGGGGGTACGTAAACAATTGTCAAATCTTTGATTGCAAACATTTGGCACTAGTTCCAAAAAAGGTTTGCCACCACTGCTATATACTAATAATATGCGCTTCCAGCTTATTAGTTTGTTAATTTGTCACAATCTMTATTAGTTAAATGAATATTGGTATTATTTTGCTCTGCAGGTAGTATATTAACAATTAGTTTACAAGAGAATATTATGTCATTATTCGTTACATTAGTTGATATCCAGATTATAAGTTTATTAGCGTTGAAAACTTATATCACGCGGATGTAACATTATTATTGGATTAAAAGTAATAAATTAATAGAACTCAATTCGTTCGGAATTTTTTTTTAACAACAATACATTTTTATTTCAAAATAATCGATGTACTTATAATCACGAACAACATAAATGAAGTAAGTAATGCCTTCGTTATTATTAATTTCATACATTTTACTACAATTGACAGGCTTCTGTAATCGATATAACCTAACCACTCATAAAGCTGTCAAGTGTTATGTATAGGTACGCAATATGCTTAATAAAACAGAAATAGGTATGTAACTATAAAGCATGTTCACACCCATTTTTCAATGAAATAATAATAAAAATCCTATTTATTAGAAATTTTGAAATTATTATTTAAATGCCATGTTTTCAAATCATTACAAGATATATTGTACTATTTAGATATACCCTGTGTAGATGCAAAATTCTGATTTTCAAATGAGAACCCCYTCCTCTAAAATGTTAATACAATMAATTATTAAGCCGACATTTTTTTGAAAATGTTGATGTACTTACTTAATTTAAAATTCAATAAAGTAATTTTTATGTTATTTAAATGTATATAATATGAAGGGTGATAGTCCTTAAAAATGGTTTGACAAAGATAGAATAGATGTGATCAAGTCTTATTAAACTTAAGCCATTTCTATATATTAAAAGTATTGATAGATTTATATGAATTTTTAAAATTTTCAATTTACTATAGCCCATACCAACTACCTATGACTCATATCTTCCAAAATCATTATCATGGACCTATTATCCTTATCTKTATAGGATAATTYTTAGGATARTCTTGTAAACAAGCTCCTTAAGTTGMACAAAAAATCACAAAAATTTGAATTGTTGGTCTTTAAGTATATTAAAAAATTTAAAAAATCAGATTTTGATTAGCTACATTATTAAAAAAGAAAACACGTTTGATGAATCACCCCATGGTATGTATATATTTTTAAGAAGATACCCTCAGCAATAGGCAATGATTTATAGACATTGATTTATATACCTGCGTAGATTGCATAACACACATAAGCATAATATAAAAAAAATTATAAACTTCATGTTATGTGTATGCCTGTGAACATAAACCAAATAAATAAATTCAGTTCTTATTTCTCATAAAATTTATATAGCAAGTATATGATAATATATTTTGTGAGATAGTATCCTACTATTTCTTATGRCTGTAAAAATACTATATTAACAAAAATGTAACTCATTTTTTAATTAATAATGACACCAAAAGAATATTATCACTATGTTATTCACATATATTTATTTTATTCACAGTTATTTACCGTCAAGCACACAAAATTCATCGTCCACGCATGTGTGTTGAATATAGCTGTCCTCGATGGTAGGATCATAATCGGCTACAAACATTTTCTGGAAAAATTGAATGGTGATCGCGCTCTTACCCACACCGCCGTCACCGACCACTACCAGCTTGTATGTAGGTAATGGATGGTTGGGGGCCTGGGTTATGGCGCGCCGATGGCGGGTCAACTCTTGTTGGGTCGTGTATGCAAACCTTGACGACAGCTTGTCTACAATAAAAATAATTTGAGTTATGTTAATAATATAACTTAAGAGTAACTATAACCGTATTGCCCGATTTTTCCCAGGTTAAAATGAATATAATATCTTTTTGTTTCTATTGTTTTATGCTTTGCTTTAGTTGAATAATATTCACAATTATAACATAACACAATTACAATGACTAATCCAATGTTTTTTTTCAATTTTYAATCTTGGACATATTTTTTATGAAATCACAGAAAGATTTAAAGAATACTTAAATGTCAACGTAAATTCAATATTGTTATGAGTTATAATGCTATTTAGTTATATTGCATTATGAAGGTACTTTTAACTTTTGTCGATAATGATAACGATTATATTTATGGGTACCAAAAACAAGTAGGACATTGTCATCATCCTGTAAAGAAACTCTGTTTAATGTTCATATTGTGTCAGTCATTTATACATAAAGTTAATGACTTTAAGTAAAATTGGTTAATTGACTAGTTATAACTAGAATACTTCTCATAAAAAACTTCTAGAGGTTATTTCTTAAATGTTAGTAATTTAATCATATGGRAATAAAATCTACACTACAGTACCAAACATTTTATTTCCAATTGATTATATTAAGATAAATTATAAATTAAATCTATAGAACCCTTAAGAAACCTATAATTTAAACAGTCTTGTTTTTGTCTTATTGAATATTCCAGAAACYTTTTTTAGTTAGTTTATAATTACCGATARTTAATTTGAATCTTAACGGTTTTCAGTTTTACATTAGAATAATTTATTTAAAGAAGATATTAGTGATTATAATGTTTAAGATTTTTGCATTTTCTTTGAATATCTATACCTGTACATTAAGTGAATTTGCAGTTATCTTGTGTCTTCAAATTAGAGAACTTGAACATTAATAAAATATACCCAATTTAATTTCTACATGCTAGTTTTTGAATTAAAAAGTTTGTTTTCTAATATTGCTATTRAATGCATAAAATATAAACTAAAATCTACAGTTTGTATAACTATTACTTATGTTATGTATTGTAGATTTTAATACTTTCAATATACAGTAAAACCTCATTAACTAGGATTTTGCTAGATCTGGACAACTGTTTATAATATTTAATCGAAGGYGTGCCTTAATACATATTACATMCTATATTATATATGTATGTAATGAATAATTATTGKAATACAATTATGCACTATTTTTTAGGTTTAATATTGCTAGATATATATTTTAGATATAGACTAAAGTATTGTAAGTATAAGAAAATATCCAATAATATTATTAAAATTTCATATTTAAGATTCTTGGTTATTTTATTTAATTCAGACAACTTAGAATCCCAATTAGTCTAGATTAATGAGGTTCTTCTGTATCTCTAATAATAAGTTTAATAAGATTATTATGCGGATAGTATTWTAATTTAACAGCCAAAAATGGCAGTAAAAATATTGTCAGTATCATATAAAATGGTTTGATAATAGTTATTCTCTTTTAGATTTATTTAAAAAGAAAATATATTGTTTCTAAATAAGTAAAATTTAATTGGATAAAAAWGACAAACAACATACACAATCTTCCTTTACTATGGTATAAAACTAAATACAAATGGTCAATTGGTTAATTTGATAGACCAACAAATTATAAGTAGGTATATAACTAAATTAAAGAATTCAATACAGTAAATAAATAGTATATTTTATCATAGTGACACAGGGTTATATACTGTAATTAGATTTTCTATAGAAAAAACCTGTTCAGTTTCGGATTTACTATCTCTTCATTCAAGACAATCGTCCTATTTTCGTCAGAAATAGGAGCACTTAGGTTCCAAATTAGTTTGTACATTCKRGCAGTAAGGCACCCTCTATTTTTTACTAAATGTACCTATGCTTACCAGCAGCCGGATCCGATCTACGTGATCGAACTTGCGAACGTCAATGCCATGGCCTGAGCAGAGTCAAAGGCGATCGAACGACGAATAGACCACAAGTTACGGGGCGAGCGAACAATTTCGGCGCCTTAGGAATTTAGAAAACATCCAAACGCATTTCGTCAAGATAAGCTGTTGGCTGTCACGTCGTCGCACGCAGCACAATCAGTCACAGACCACACGTCGTGTCGTCGTCTGAGATTTGGCGATATAATGGTAATAATAATAATAATAATACGGTAGACAGGCGTAAAACAAAAATCGAATAAAACAAAATATATAATAATATATATACATATATATAATATATGCGCTTGCGTGTTTTCCCCTGTTATCAGATGCGCTGCCTGGAGTGCCTGGACCAAATGATAAGGCACAGTAGCAAGAGAACGATGCGGTGCGCATGCGTGACAATCGAACTTGGTTTCAGTGCTATCAAAACTCAAATTTCCATCGTTCCTCCAAAGAGATAGTCYGGATAGATAACAGAGTCATTGAGTCATTCCAACAGGCGGTATTGCGAATTGCGATAACGTTTCGCGGTTACCAAACGAAAAACACGTCCTTCCGTGTCCGTGTGTTCCTCCGTTTTTTAAACACCATAAATCATAATATTGTAGTTTTTGTGTATGTACGACGTTCGACAAATGCGTTTCCCAGAGCTTGAYCACTACATACGATGACAGCAGTTGCAACCGCCGCTGCCGAGACCGCTTCCGCCTCCACCAACATTGTTACCTCCGTTGCCTCCAACGGCAAGGGACATATCTTGCATGACGGACCAGCGTATTCGTTGGCGCTCAACAAAGAGCACACTCACGTGGTGGTCGCTGGCAGAAATGGTAATTAGTTTTTTCCTTTTATTTGCTTTTCTATGGTCGAAAATATTTATTTATTTTTTGTTTATGTCGCTGTGTTAAGTTCATTGACCATCATTTTATTTACAGTTTTCAAGGTGTTTCTTATCGAACAGGGAGGCTTTAAAGAATGTGTCAACTTACGCTGTGGAAAAACATCAAGTGTACAGAGTTCTTCGAGCATGGATGTAGCTTGGAACCCGGCAGATGGTAAGACTCTCATTTGTATTTATGTATGGTATGATTATAAATAGGTTCGGAAATTATGAGAGCTAAAAAGACAAAATATGCAGGTATTAACAAATTGTAAAATGTAGTTACCTACCTAGGTACAATAAAAAAATTTAAATATAATATATTACTCGTATTAGATATTATATTTAAAATTTTAAAATATTACTTCTTGAATTTTACTTGATGAATTTTATCATTTTTTTCATCTGAAAATAACAATATAGTCATACCTAAATAAGTTACTTGACTAATTCCATTTAATTTTACAACTTAGTAAAAATTTAGATAATTGTGTTAACTTCTCCTGGTGAAATAACGTCAAAAATCTAGCCGCCGGACCGAGATTCAAACTCGGGTCTCTCGCTTGGCGGGCGATTGCTCTACCACTAAGCTACCTGACTGCATAGACCCATAACACTATATCCCCAARTTAACGGATGTTTACATTCGACCATCCTGCATCCTCTGATCGCCCTCGATCAACGCTGGTCCCTTCGTCGCCCACCGCGACCGTTGCTTCACCACCTGATCACCAGAGTGTACGGCCCGTTAACACAAACACAATCGCCGATATATTTGGTAATCTTAAATTTTATTTTAAAAATATTGTGTCAGAAGAATGCCCAAATATCTAGGTCAAAAGTTTGATAGGACCCTAACATATGACCAACATCTGGAGGGAGTGAAAAATTAACTAAAAGCATGCAACAACTGTATGGCTAAGTTAGCTAGTACCACCTGGGGCTGTCACAACAATGCACTCTGGACCCTAGCACTAGCATTAGTTTATAGTGTAGCCAAATACTCTGCATCTATGTAGCTAACCTAACCAGACTTAAGGAGACAATCACATACCACAAAGATACTACATAAGCTAAACAGACAGCTAATTTTGACTCTACAAATTGACATCCTTGAGCAKCTACCATTACACCTCAAATCTAGAGCTCCCATATGGAGTGCAGAACCACAAAGCGAATCATAGAGTCCCTTTAGGCGAGACATTGGAAACAGTCCATTATAGAGACCTGATCAAGGAACCATTTATAAAGTCCCTGGTTGGGATAGCATAAGGACTAAATGAACAACGCTCAATCGAATAAGAACAGGACAAGGAACATTAAACTACCTACTCCATAAATTGGGCATGGCTCCTTTTTGATCATGTGGAGAAATACAGACAATCAAACATATAGTTGAGACTTGTCCTATTACACTGTTTGAAGAAGAATTGACAAAACTACATAAGGGCTGACCAATAGCTGTAAAATGGCTTGAAGAATTAAATATACGTTTATGATTTCTATTGTTATTAGTATTGATTTTATTATACCTACTAAAACCTACCATACCTATATTTTATATAATATCTTATTACTTGTTTTTGTTAATTGACTAATTATTTTAATTATCATATTTATTTATTTGTTTAATCTTACAAATTCTATCTATACATTTCTCTTATCGAATATGTCATATGCAAATAATAATAATTTAAAAAAAAAACCATAATTTTCATTTTAAATACCTAAGTATGATTTCTATTAAAAATATGGAAAAATAAATAAATAATTTTGCAACTGTGTATACATGAAATGAATCTATACCTCTGCCTACTATGTATAAGAAGCAGACAGAAAATTTTAATTGTACAACTGCTTAACCCTAATTTTAATATTTTACTCTATGTCTCTATTTTCAATACACCATTAATTTGCGGCAGTAATAATTTTATTGCAATTTTTCTGAATTCTGGGCTAATTTTTTCTCTGTTTCTAGACAATGTTTTGGCAACAGCAACGACTGGTGGTGCGGTAGTCACATGGAACTTGAATAGATCATCCAGGAATAAGCAAGACCACATTTTTTATGACCACCGAAGAACTGTTAACAAAGTTACATTTCACTGTGTTGAACCCAATCTGTTGATGTCTGGTTCTCAAGATGGTACAATAAAATGTTTTGATTTGAGACTAAAAGAAGCTCCTAAAACTTATTCCAGGTTATTTTATCATAAAGTAGTTTTTAGTTGAATCCTCGTTGTATTAAACTAATTATTATGTTACAGTGATTCAGAGAGTATTAGAGATGTTCAGTTTAGTCATCACAACAATTATGTGTTTGCTGCAGCTTCAGAAAATGGCAGTATCCAAATATGGGATACTAGAAAGGCCGAAAAGTGTCTGAATAAGTTTTCTGCTCATAATGGGCCAGTATTTTCTTGTGATTGGCATTCAGAACTTCAATTTCTAGCAACTGCCAGTCGCGACAAATCTATTAAAGTAACTTATTTGGTTTACCCTGTATTTACTTGAGACAAATAAAAGAAAATTTTCATTGATATAGGTTTGGAATGTTACTAATAAACCTATTGCAGAGTACACAATTTGCACTATTGCCCCTGTTGGACGAGTTAAGTGGAGGCCTTATCGTAGATACCACTTGGCGTCTAGTGCTTTAGTTCTAGATTCTGCCATTAATGTTTGGGATGTGCGCAGGCCTTACATTCCTTATGCATCATTTGCTAAGCATACAGATGTAGCAACTTGTATTGCTTGGAAAGGAGATCCTTATGTACTCTTATCCACAAATCGAGTAATATATATTATTTGACATTTATGAAAACACAATTTACTTATATTTAATATAAACTATAAAATTAGGATAGTACTTTACATCAAAATTTCATAAGTGAAGCAGACTTGCCCTTAGAAAGTGCTAACCAGCAAGGTATGGCTATCAATAGGGATGGAGATCTTGTATTTTGTTGTCCAGTTAATTTAAACAAAGTTGAAATTCAAAAGTCTAAAGAAAGTTCTAGGTAATTTATTTGTTAGGGGAAAAGTTTAATTGATTTCGTCCATGTTATAAGCAATGTAATTTTGTAGAAAAACTTCAACTACAACTAGTGGTGAAGAAGAATTAAACACATCAAGTGAGATGAATGTTTTCCGTGATCCGAAAATTGTCATGTGTTTATCTGATGAAACAGAATGTATCCAAACGTGTGCTGTTCAATATAAACTTATTGGAAGATCAATAGGAGAACTTTGTGACCACAATGCTGGCGTTGCTTCCAGTGTGGGGAGAACAACTGTAATTAAAAGAAAAAAAAATTATAACTATTAAACAGTTCTAAAAATATATTAACTATTTAGGTTTTTTTGTTTTGGAATGTCCTGCGGATACTGTATGATCACCGTATGTCACTTATGGCTCTCAAAGAGGATATTATGAGTAACTCAAACATCGAAAGTAGCTTTGATGGGGATAACCAGATTGGTTCCTTCAGTGATGAAGATGGTCTAAGAGGAGATAAACCATACCAGTTAGGAGATTTCTATTTTGGCAATGCAGAAATTGATCCTTTAGATGCTGAACATGACCAATTTGATTTCATTGGATTACAAATGGATAGCAAGACTGTAGAAGAAGATAACGATTGGGAAGTACCCGTAGAATCAATAACTTTAAGACATGAAATCATTCATGAACCAATTATTAACGATCCCTACATTCCTAACTCAGCGCCTTTAGCAAAAAAATTAAGTAAGAAATGATATCAGAGATTTTAAATTGACACTGGGCATTAAAATTTGACAAATTTATTTTACAGATAACCGCATAACATCTGCACCGCTATTGCGAATAACGTCTCCAGCTAAATTTGACATGTGGAATCCATCAGAGATTGTTGCCAAAGCTCTTCGTCATCATGTTGATGAAGGTGATGTACAAACAGCGGTTTGTGCATTAATTGTTTTGAGTGATGAAATTAGAAATGAACTAACCCATCCCAAACATCCTTGGCGTCTTTTACATGGTGAAATAGAATGTTGGTGGTTGAATTATCTAGAATTACTAAGAAAATTCAAATTGTGGTCCTGTGCTACAACGGTAGTTTAATACAATTGCAATTTATTATATATTGCACTGAAATAAAAAACTAAAATGTGTTTTATTTTCTTATAAAATTAGGTGATCCAACTCTCACGCATTCGTAGCATATTGCAACTCCACCGAACTTCTACTTCAATTAATTTGACCTGTGGATGGTGTTATAAAGGTTTGACACGAAGCAGTCGACGTTGTTACAACTGTCAACATTCTGAATGCGCTAGGTGTGCATTATGTCAAAGAATTGTACGTGGAATGTACACATGGTGTAGAGGATGTGCGCATGGTGGTCACATTGGACACATGAAACAATGGTTTTTGGAGAATAAGTACTGTCCAACTGGATGTGGACACTTGTGTGAATATTGACCTCAATAAAATGTAAGTGTTATTGTTTTTTTCTATTTCATTTTTCAATAATTTAAATGTGTTAGACAGTGTTCAAAACAATGTAAATTATTATTACTATACATTTACATACTTTGCATATATTATTTTCTGTGACTGAGATGTAGGTAAAAAAAAAACAACTTAATATTTTTAAATGATATAATAAAATTGTATAAAAATAATACATAAAATAAATATATGTGATTGGATTTAAAATGTTGTATTAAGTATTAAGCAATAATATATACATACACATACAATGTGTTCGAGAAGTTTTGAAATTTCTTTAATAATTAACCCGTAATAAATATTTCTAATCATTTGGAACACATTGGATATAATATAATATAATATGTATATATTAAAGATTAGGAAAGAAGAATCTTAATGTCTGAGAAAATAAAGATAATACACATTTTACTATAAAATCATATAAACTTAAAATCCATGATATATATTTAGGAGAAAGACATTATAATCGAAATCAAAATAATTGATTGCAAGTTATTAAAAATTATAATAAATAAGATTGAATTAGATTTCCAAAGATGTTGAGAATTTAAGATTTTTACACTATATTACATTTCAACTTCTTTCTTCTACCTTTGTCTTTACCCTTGCCATTTGCTCCCTTTACATCTTCCTTCTTGCGAGCACGGATCTCACGCATCAAGTCAAAAAATACCTATATATTAATAATAAAATATTAAACCCAGAATATAGCATTTGATTTGGTTTTCATTTCTTATGTTACTCACCTTATCAACATTATCTCTTGTCTTTGCTGATGTTTCAACATATGGCACGCCCCATTCTTGCGCCCTAGACTGAGCTTCATTCAATGATACTTTTCTTTTATCTGTCAAGTCTCCTTTATTACCAACTAATAAAAATGGGATGTTTTCATCATTCTTTACTCGTAGAATTTGTTCTCTAAAAAATAATTTAGAAATTTATTTTTATCTTTCATTGAAATAAACTATAGTGCATATTTCACAATTATTAGTGTTATTTCCAACAAATACACAGGATGTAATTTACATAATTTTTCTTTCAAATGTAGGTTAGTGTCTAAAGCTTTAGAATTTATGATAGGTATGGTGTATAGTTATTATAGAGTAAAATAACTATTTCAGTTACTAGTCATATATATTATTATGTAAATTCTAAACGAGAAAAATTATTTATTTATTTTTTAATATCCAATTGTTTAAAATTACAAAATATTATTTTATTTATATTAAATAAGAATTTTTTTTTAAGCAAAATAATCAAACTGATTTATATAATAAACAATATCATTATGGTAAATGGATAAATATTGAATAGTACAGTTTTATTTTAAAAAATGATTGAAATAAAATTAACAAAATTAATTGACTTAAAATAGGTGGTTATTGCTTCAACAAGTTTTCTAATTTAATACTTTATTTGTGAATATATTGCAATTATTTTGTTGAGCACATTTAAACTACTTATTATTTAGCCTCTTATAGGTTTGAGTTAGTGAAAAAAAAAAAAATGTTTATTTCGTAATACAAATTAGGATGTATAACAATTTTTATGATAATTATGTACTCTAAAGCTAATCTTGACTTTATATTGATGATAGGTATTGAATCTTCTCATATACAATCTAATATATTACGTACCTAAACTCCATTGTTGATTGAAAACTGTCATCTTCTGTAATGGAAAACACACATAAAAATCCTTCACCACTGCGAAAATAATTGTCACGAATGGCAGCATAATCTTCCTGGCCAGCCGTGTCCAGTATATCAATTTGGACTTCTTCGCCATCCAAGACTACTTTTTTACGGTATGAATCAGCTTTAGTCGGTTCATAATCTTCAACAAACTATATTAGGGCGTGTCAGCTAAGGTTATTATACTTTAAATGTTATTTCATATTAATACTTTAATTTGTACTCACCTCATCATACATGAACTGGAGGGTAAGGGCAGATTTCCCAACACCACCGCTACCCACCATTATAACTTTGTGCAGAGCTGGCTGCTGTGCATTGTTTTTCTTCATGGCTTGTAATAAAGATATCGACTGTTGTTGCTGAAAAAAATCAGCTTGTATTAGGTTTAATAGTCGTGACTGAAAACAATGAGATTCTGGTGGCGGGTCAAGTGAAAACTTCTTAGGGTCACAGCTTTCTCACTAATTATATTCAAAATAACTATGGGAAAAAAACTATCATATTAAGGTGGTGCTACAGTGGTTTTCGCCGAACTGTGTGTATATGATTACGTGGTGGGGAGATATTAGAATTTTAGATGAACAATTAAATATTAATAAACAATGATCACCTTGTTGATGGAAAAATAATTATTGCAATGTGTTACACTAATACTGAACGTTAATGATTAATATTTTTAGTCTTGCAAGGGAATAATGTTAATTGATTTTCGAAAGATAATTATTGTTTACATTTCGAGTGCGTTATCATTGTCGATTGGGGTTGGTTAGTTACCGATGGTGCAAAACTATCAGTGTGGCCATGCTGAGAGAATATTTCTCGACATTCAATAAAGTTCAATTACTCATGATCGGCTGCGCCTAATTTATGGGTATTGCGAAATACGAATGTTAGATTAATGTACAAAATTTATGATCGTTGAATCATTTAAACTATCGTACTTTTAAACTTATCAACTGTCTATTTTTTATCATACGTTATGATTCATAACTACCGTCAACCAATGATCCTTTGAAACGTGACAATATAATATTACTTTCTTCCCTTTTCACATCACACCCACTAACGTTGTGAATTTGTGATGTTCAGAATTTCAGATGTTTCAAAAGTTTCATAATTTCATATGATTTTTAAGTCAACGGTTCTAAATTAAAAATACATTTTTGTACTTTGGAAAATAATTTTTGAGAAAATCGCGAAAATAAAATTTTTGAAAAATATAACAATTTGTGAATTATTAACAAAATTCTCATTTTTTGATTAATTATGGAGAATTAAATCAACTAAAAAATGTTGCCTAAGTATAACGGTTATAACGGTTAGATATATGCTAACGCCCTGTTTGACTATTTTTTTGTTTTTAACCCATTAATACCAATATCCTTATAGTAATATTATTTATTACTTATCACCAGTCTCACTATATCGACGTCACGCCATTATTAGAAAATTAATTTTTTTGTATAATTTTAATTAAAAAAATAATTATATTAACTGAARATTGAATTTCAGTCTATTACAAAATTAAAATTACGGCTCACGTACCTAGGTAATATCAATTTTAAAAGAAAAGCTTGAAGGGGTAAATAACATGTTTAATTAGTTTATTACAATATAATATTATAATATGAGCTTTAACTGATTATCATTTATATTGTTCAAAATTATAATATGTACACACAAACCCCCGTTTGTTTGTGTATGCTGTATTGCACGTACCCACTTAAGTCGATAAAAAACAGAAATCTCACCATAGAGTATACAAAATGCCGCGCGTAAAAACGCACACTATTTAGAAGTAGAAGAGTGTCGACGTCTCGTGCAAATAACCACGTACATAAATATAATATAAAGTAATAATAATAATATATCTACATTGTAGTAACTCGCAATTATTACTGCGCACCGATCTACTCACTCTATATGCTGGCTTAACCGAAGAGATAAACTCTGGCCGCTAGCGTATAGTATATGGACTGTGACTGTGTTCGCATATAGTGAATAATGTATATCATTTAGTATAATGTATATTTACATTAAAATATATGTTTATATATGCTCGAAAGTGTATGCCTTTTCAAGGAATGCAGACAGGGGATTTCATCGAGCATTACTCGGCTACCATCACTGCATCCCTCTTAAGTTTATTATACATTTGTTTAAATTCTAAATTTTAAAATATATATAGACCAAATTTGAGACAAATTTTCGAATACCTACTCCATATACAAATCTTATGAACTTATGAGCCTATTACCTATAAAAGTTATAAGCTATATAGCCTATAATAATTCTAGCTACCCATGATTGGTTACAAATTTACAATTCCAAGATTTCATCAATTATTCCGTGATTAAATAATGTGTAAAGTGTATGGGAGAGGGTGCTTGCTTAAGCGTGCTTGGCGATTCACCAATGTTGGTTTAATTTAATTAACCATCATTAATGTGGTTTCAGATTTGTGTAGTTTACTAATGACAGGAAATATTTTTATGTGTGTTGAAGTTTAATTGAATATTTGCGTAAATTATTGTCGATGTTGTTTAAGGCAATTCACTAAGYATGCTCAATCTCTTTTTACTCGATATTGTAGTYATAAGATTTGATTTTTGGAATTTTTAAATATCTATACTTAAAGGCCATGTYTTGAGATTTTTCGTTTCTACTTAAGGATTAATTATTACTATTCATACTAGTTAYTTAGTGGATAATTTTTTTWAAAATGTTGATTTAGCTAATTTAAAATTTAAACGAGTTGTTTTACCATTATCTAAATTTTTATAGTAAGAATGATAGTTGCTATAWGAGTCGTTTTAAAAATGTATAAAATATTTGGAAATAGTATTGGTATACATATTATTATATATTATACACATAATCGTTTCTTAAATTTTAAAATGTGTGAATCAGTCATTTTAATTATATCAAATTGTGGGAGTCATCGAACCATAATGATGATGATTGTCTTTCTACATTTTTTTTATTTTTTGGAATTTTTATTGGAATTATCAACTTTTGTGATTTTTTACTATATGTATCCCAATAATTTAACAATTAGTTCATTTTTCGCCACTACGCGTTGTTATATTATATTGACAACGTTGTGCATAAAAATTAACAGTTTATTATTATTTGTTCTTTTTAATAATGTAATAAATATATTTAATATTTATGTTATCAATTGTTTCTTAATAGTAGTTGGTCAATATTGTCGAGCCACAATAAATAAGTATTTGCAACGGTAAAAAGTTATAAAATACTATCTCTGCAGTCCACAGCGATGAGGACGGCCCTCTTATCATATTTTCCAAATATTGCATTAATTAATTACTTTCGTCTCATATTAGTCGTTTTGCAAAAAAAAAACTATAGTTACGATTGTTACGAATGTACATCCTGTATTCATATCCTACAATTTAGTGTTATAAGCATGATGTCATGTTATTCTTCAGCCTTTTTACGAATCAATTTAACTCAGTGGTGTATTTATATGTTTGTGACAGGGCGTGAAATTGCCCAAAATTCTCAAAAATATATGTAGGTATATCTATATAGCGCTAAAGTTGTAAATACACCTCTCAGAGGTTAGGTAGTCAGAGGTGACCTCTGCGTTTGCCTTTGCTACTGCTGTGTTAAGTTTAACTCTGGTAAGTTTATATTAGACATGTTTATCTTTATTATGTGYTATATACTTATATATAAGATATTAAAAAGATAGTAAGATAGTATAAGATTTATAAACCTTCTTTAAAATTTTTTTAAGCAAATAGTGTCAATTATTCTCATAGCATAATATACTTTCCTAGTATAYAAGCATTTATATTTATATGCTTTCAACATAGATTCGGTCACGCACGTAGGGCTTAGAGTATATACTGTTATACTTATTACGATTATTTAATATCGATTATAATTGTAACACCTAAACAAAAACTAATTACAATCTACGCTTAAAAACATTGAACAGGTAGCTGGGTAGCTAATCATAATCATGCATCATACCTACAGTTAAACGGATTTCTGATCCACCTATATAGTATAGCATTACAAAATGTATTTATACCTATACTAAAAATCCAAAACTTGTTTTCAGTTAAGTTGGAATAATAATATATCTATCAAAACGATTCTATATAAATACAGCTAATATTTCAATACTTTAACATTGTACACAAGGGCCAAGTGTGAATAAGAGGAAGTGGCAGATCTCATTCACGAGAGAAAGTGTAGAAATTTGGTGTATTTTTACATAATTAAATATTTATATTGTTTCATTATTTAATAAAACTTATAAGTATGACAACATGGCAACTTGTATTTGCGATGACTTGACTAGTAACGTATACACAGATGGCACATAGCAGTGAGTGTTCAAACCCCTCCCCCCAGCTGGTATTGTTTTCACTTTACATATACATACRTAACAAGTTAGGACAATTCACTCTGGGAGAATGCTGAATTTCCGGTTTCTAAACGTATTTTAATACGAGCCAACAAATTATAATTCTATATATACTTACATTTAAAAAACATTTTGGTAACCTTTATATTTTAGTACTTACGTATTTGAACATAGACATGTTTTTGGGCTGAGCACAACATTTTTTTTCTAATCGATTTTCGTAACATTTCGTGTATTGTTATGGAAACGCAATAAAAAATTAAAATTAAATTTCTAACTAAATGTATCATAATTCTACAAAATATTTTCTAATGCACTATACTCCAAATCATATTATATTACAYAATTCTTCTATTTTCATATCAGAGGTGAAATATCTAATATAAATTCATACAAACGACATTTTTTTGATATTGCAGTCTAGTTCAAAGTATAGTTTAAATCTACATATTATTAAATACTCATACTTTGATATATTTCATTAGAACCATTACATAATTATTAATTGTTTTATTCTATTCAATTAAAGTATTGAAATATTTATATTAATAAGTCTCTAGCTAAATGTATGTATATAGTTCTTTTGTTTTGAATTATGAATGCTAATATGAAAATGGAAATGACTAAATGAATATCAACAGTCGCAACTATGCACTTACTGATAACTAACGGATACAACGGAGTTATAAGGTGTTCTTAACTTAATATTAGATACTATACAATGAATACAATTTTAAAAGTACTTCTACTTCTCATTGAAAATATCTGTTTACTCCACTGGACTTAATCCTCAAATAAGGCTCGCACTAATCTTAGTCATAGGACCAGCTAAGGGCATCGGGATTATGGTGCATTCATAAATAAATAATAAATATACACCTCGGCGGCTCCGAAAAGACGCTCTTGATTTTTGTAACAAGGTCACAAGGAGATCGTTTCTCGTTAGTTTTTGTGTTTGAATCTAAAGATACCAAATAYCAATTATTAATTTTCTCTATTATAGGTTTTCAATTTACTTTTTATTTAAARTTAAATTTAATAAATGATTTAGATAAGTTATAAATAATTCTTGTTTATTGCATCCTGTTTTAACTATTTGGAACTATATTATATCACTACCAGTCCCTAGGTTCAGTAGATTCACAACTCTGAAGTAACTGTTTATACTTATTATGACATAAATACATGATATAATTATATGTACCTATCTATATTGCACTATATGAAGTAATTCATTTAACCGCAATCTAAACAATAATTTTCGGTATTAATTTTTGTGATATATTGAGAGTAATATTTTTTGAAAAATGTTTGATATTGAAACGGTCTAGTTGTATTAATTGTTATTTATTCCTAAGCCAAACAAATGTTTCTCTATAGAAATCGCATTGGCCTACCGGAAGAATGAGTGATGAGGAGCATGACATAATTATTCATTGACCTAATATATTATAGTTTATATGAGATTAATGAAGTTTGTTTATACATATATATTAGAAACAATAACGATATAAATGAATATTAGTGTGTACGGTACAGGTTATTGTCACATATTTTATTATTTTTATTTGTTTACTTAATATTATTACCTATACAATTAATTTTATCAAAGTAAATACTCTTATAATATAT